TTTCCATTTTTACTACTTTAAAATGTATTCCTTGTCCCAGAGCCCACCAGATTCCAAATTATGCAGTTTGAAGAAGTAGCATTGACAACTTCCTGCATAAAAAACTTTTATGAATGCAAACTTTGAGTGGTTTTTCTGGTTAATCTAATTTATTTAAATTAGCTTTATTTAATTACACATACAGCTGTTCTGTGCCCTGAACATAGCCCAAGGGACTATTTAAAGTGCTTAAGTCTAAATGTCATGTTTTATCACTATGTAATATGTAGCAAACCACAAAAATTTTTTTTTGTTGTTCACTGAGTAGTACTTCAAGAATACAGCATTCCTTTCTTTGTTTTTTCTCTGATAGGATAATAGTTATAAAGCTGTAAGCAGAACTGGCTTTCCTTTCATCTGAGCACCATATATGCCATAATTTAAGTTACGGCAATATCTTTGTTCAGAGAGGTCTCTCATTCCAATGCCTTTAATTTCTATCTATAACTAGAGTTTCTAAAATCCATACCACCAGCCCGGATTTCTCTCTAGTGCTCCAGACTCATACATCCAATGGCAACTGAACATCTCTTGTATAGTCCACATGTCCAAAGTGGAATTTACGATCTTTCCTTCAAATGGCACATCTTGCTCTATTCTTGTGTCACCAAATGAGGCTTCACTGACCATTTAGACTCCTGGTTATCAAATAACTTTTGGGACAAGATGGCTTAGACCTGACGTCACCTGTGTCCTTACACAGAATTAACTTCCAGTTGGGCATCCTGGAAAGAGATTGGACTCTGGAATCAGCTGATCTGGGCTTGAATCCCCACCCTACTGTTATTAACCAAGTGATCTTGGGCAGTTATTTCTAGAAGCCGTGGCTTCCTCATCTACAATAAAAATATCATCAAACTTCCCAATGATAACTAGAGAATCCAAAGAAAATATATGTGCAAGTGTTGCATCAGGCATAAGGCCTTACATAAATATTAATAATTTCTATTTAGCGTATTCCTAAGAGAATCCAATGAGAAAAATAGGCTTAAAGACAAAATAAACCATCTTAGTTTATAAAACAATAGTATACAAGCCACCACTATTGAACACCCACATAATGCAATTTGATTCTTTGAAATTTCATTGGGACTTGCTCAATTCTAGTGCCAACTAACAATGTGGAAGCCAAGAGGATTCGTGAGCCAAGTGAAGATCCATTTTTCAGAAACACTTGATCCATGTACATATATCTTTAGAAAAAGAAGGTTGTCTTTCCCGGGTAATATATGAATACTTTTAGGTCAGTAGAAATTAATAAACAATTGGCTTGCATTAAAGCAGAAATCAGAAAAACAGCTTCCCCAATTTACAGTTAGGAAATGGCTCAGGAATTGGGAAAAACCAAGAATCAAGATGTGACTGTCCTCAAATTTTAGCTTTTGTTCTCCCACAGGATCTTTCAATACAAGTAACTTTAAATGAGAATCTGTCATCAGCTCCACTGTATTATTATGCCACCAAATCAGCCCAGGAGGTTCACTCCTCATGCCCTAAGTTAGCGTGTGACAGTTTGCATGGTACTGGTCTCCTAGAATATGATTTCATGTCATGACTGTCTTTAAACTGGAAGATCTGGTGAGTTCCCTGATGACCTATACTCAGCATATTTCAACATCCCTAAAACTGTTGAGAAACCTCTACATCCAAATGATAGTCCAATCCCAGCATCATTCCAATAATAGCCACATACACAGTCACTGGGTCTTTTCCACTTTGAAAAAGCAACTAATAAAAGTATCTAAGAGGAAAATTTTAATCTTCTTTTCCACCCAGTAAAACAATCCAAGGTCGCCTGTGCTGTGCATTCAAATGCTTATATCATATACACACCCAAAAGAGCCACACTGTCTAATTTTCATTGCACTGTCATTGAACTTGTTTGTACAGCTAGTTTAATCTCATGTTCAAACCTTTATCCCCCCAAACGTTTGAGGGCTTACAGTTTTATCTCTTTATCACATTATGTCAGTCCTTTGCAAGCAAGATGTAACGCGTACCTGAACATCTTGGGGATAATTACTCTTCCAATAATTTGCAACACTAATGATACTTTTTCAGTTTTTTTATGGTGCAATTGTTTTATGCTTTATTAGTTTGCATTTGGTTTTTTCTCTGATATTTTCCCTCCTGTCTGAGATTTTACAAGTCTACTGCCTGTACTGTTCCTATGAAGAATGTATTCTACTTCAAAAGAAGAAAAATGGTTATGGTAATACAGAAAAGGCCAGATGCTGGCCTTTATGAGAAAAAAATATATTACAAAACTTGGTTTTGTATCATCCCTAAAATAAGAGGTTAAGTAATAAGTGGAGTGAGGCTAGTTAAGGCCTATGTGCCTCAAAGGTATGTACAAACCAAGATGACTGCAGGAGGTTAGCGTATCTTTAAGAGACTAGGTTGGAGCAGGAGATCACGTACCCTCAGCACTAAGCTCTGAGATCTGGTCCTGTGCAAGATCCATATTCTCTAGCTTGAGATAAGATGAAGCTGTGATAACTCTGTTTTCTGCCCCTGTAGTTTTGCCATTTCTAGAATGTCATATAAATGGAATCACACGATATATTACCTTTGGAGTCCAATTTATTGCACTCAGAAAAATGTAGTAAAGAGTCATCCAAGTTGTTGCATGAATCAGAGGTTTTTTTTGTTTTTACTGTTGAGTAGTGTTCTAGTCTGTGAATGCACCACAGTTTATCCATTCACTTGTTAAAGGTGCATCTTGGCTGTTTCCAGTTTTTTGAATTATGAATAATGCTGCTATAAAAATTACATTTATATTTATATTTTTAATTTATATTTTTGTGTGAATATAAGTTTTCACTTCACTTAGGTAAATACCTAGGAGTAGGATTGCTGGGTTATATGGTAAGTATATATTTAACCTTCGAAGAAACTACCAAGATGATTTCAAAAGTGGCTGTACCATTTTGTACTCTAACAGCAATGAATAAGCATTTTTATTTCTATGCGTTTTCACTAGCATTTGATATTGTCAATTTCTTTTTTAAAAATTTTCGCTATTCTAGGGTAGAAATATTGTTATACACACACACACACGCACACACACACGCAAACACACACACTGCACTATTATCCAACCTTAAAAAAGAAGGGAAGTCTGCCATTTGTGACAACTTGGATGAACCTGTAGGCCATTATGCTAAGTGAAATAAACCAGACACAGAAAGAAAAGAACTGCATGATCTCACTTATACATGGAATCTAAAAAGTCGAATACATAGAAGCAGAGAGTAGAAAACTGGTTACCAGTGGTGGGGAGGTGGGGGAAATAGGGAGGTGTTGGTCAAAGGGTACAAAGTTGCAGGTACATAGGATGAATAAGTCTAGAGACCTAGTGTACAACATGATGACTATAGTTAATAATACCGTATTATAAACTAGAAATTGACTAAGAGAGTAGATTTCAGGTGCTTTCACCACACACACAAAATGGTAACTACGTAAGGAGATGGATACATTAATTAGCTTGACTGTAGTAATCATTTCATTACATATATGTATTTCAAAACATGTTATATACTTTAAATATATAATTCTTATTTAAAAAAAATTTTAGCCATTTTAATAGATGTGTAGTAGTTATCTTACGGTTTCAGTTTATACTTCTCCAAAGATTAATGATGTTGAGCATCTTTGCATATGCTTGTTTGCCACCTACATATTTTCCTTAGTGAAGTGTCTGTTCAGATCTTTTACCCTTTACCAGTTGTTTCTTTACTTGTTACTGAGTTTTAAGAATTCTGTATATATTCTGGATACGAGTCCATTAAATGTTATCTGATTTGCAAATATTTTCTCCCTGTTTGTGGTTTTTCCTTTCATTCCCTTAATAGCATCTTTCATAAAATAATAGTTTTAATTTTGATACAGTCCAATTTATCAATTTTTTCATGGCTTGTGGTTTTGGTATCTAAAAATTCATCATTAAACCCAAGGCCACATAGACTTTTATCCTATGGTTTCTTCTAGAAGTTTTATAGTTTTGTCTGAATATTTAGGTCTGTGATCAATTTTGAGTTAATTTTTGCATATTTTGTGAGATTTGTGGCAAGGTTTATTTTTCTGCATATGGATGTCTAGTTGTTCCAGCATGATTTGTTAAAAGGATTATCCTTTCTCCATTGAATTGCCTTTGCACCTTTGTCAAAAATCAGTTGCTATATTTGTGTGGGTTTATTTCTGGGCTCTCTATTCTGTTTCATAGGTTGACATGCTTATCCTTTTGTCAAAATGATGCTGTTTTGATCACTGTATTTTATAGTAAGTCTTAAAATTGGGCAACAACTTCGGGTCCTGCCTCCAGGCAGTGTGAATCCTCTGACTTTGTTCTTCTTTTTAGAATATTTTGACTATTCCAATTCCTCTTCCTTTCTATACAAATTCTAGAATCAACTTGTTATTATCTTCAAAGGATCTTGCTTATATTTTTATTACAATTGAGTTGAACATATAGAGCAAATTAGAGAGAACTGACATCTTTACAATAATAAATCTTTAAATCCCTGAACATGATATATTTCTCCGTTTGTATACAACTTCGATTCTTTCATTAGTGTTCTGTAGTTTTCAGCAGACAGATCCTGCACATATTTGGTTAGAAACTTCATTGTTTTGATTTTTATTGTAAGTGAGATTTTTTTTCAACTACTAATTCTAAATATTCATTTCTGGTATATAGGTATGCCAGACTGATGTTTGAATATTGTCTTTGTATTCTGTGACCTTTCTAAAGTCGCTTCTTTAGGATTTTCTATGTAGTGTAAAATATTGTCTGAAAATCCTGTTATTTTGCCTCACAAAATCATACTCAATCTCCAAGTTCTACTCCATGTAGAGGAAACCAGTTCCTCCAATTGCTTTACCTATAACACCTTGCTCACTTGTGTATTCTGCACTTATTACACTGTAATGTAATTATTTCTTTACTTATTTTTCTCCTCCACAAGACTGTCAGATCCCTAGAAGCATGACCTACGATTGTTGCCTTCTCATTTCAAGCACCTATTAAAGTATGAGAGACATAGGAGGACTGCAATAAGTGTTTATTTAATAGACGAGAGAGAAAAGAAGTCAAAGAAAGAGAGAAAAGCAAATAAGAGCACAAATTTACAGACTACAATTCAGATGTGCATAGAAGATATAACTTTTTTTCATAGTACTGATATATTCATCTTCCTCATAAGCTTCATTCAACCAGGGCTTCAAAAAGGGGAGAAGGGCATTAAACTTACCAATTACATGCTTCCATCACCTCTAGATTAAACCATTCCATTCAGACAACTTAACACGTTTGAGTAAATGTTCAGTCTTTCAGATGTTTTCCTATATCCTTCTCTTCCCCAAGATGGCATCTGGGTGATGATGGTACACACAGGCCCTCGTGCTGGAGAGGGACCTGGGCTCCAAGCACTGTAACCTTACGCTGTTATTGTTCATCTCTGGCCTCTTCCGCAATGGCCTTGGTTGTGTTTCAGTGACTGCTCTGCTGGCATCAACTACTAACATCTTTTATTTATTTATTTATTTATTTATTTTTTCCCCCAAAGCCCCAGTTGATAGTTGTATGTCATAGCTGCACATCCTTCTAGTTGCTGTATGTGGGATGCGGCCTCAGCAAGGCCAGAGAGGTGGTGTGTCGGTGTGCGCCCGGATCCGAACCCTGGCCGCCAGCAGCGGAGCGCAAGCACTTAACCTCTAAGCCATGGGGCCGGCCCCTAACATCTTGACTGAAGTCTGTAGCTGACAATATAAAGTCTGTACTTCCTCTTGGTTTGGTCAGGACCTGGGGTTCTCCTTTGATTCAGTACCCACTTGGCTCTTGCTGGCCCTGAAGACTCTGATATTTAGCTACATTCTCTTCCTGGCCTGTGGGTTAGGAATTGTACACCCCACATTATCTGTATAGGTCACCCTATCCCTTGTCTTGGTTGCCTTCATGGAAGGTCCAACATCTCACTCCTCACTTTCTCCTACTCCACCCGCTAAACAGGGGAACATTTGCATTCTTTCCGTACTACCTGGGAACCAAAGTAGACTTAAGAGGCCTCCTCTCTGCCTACCCATGGTATATGTTATACACGGTATAGATCCATCCAGCATGGTGGTCTCATCTTGAGGTTGGGTGAGAACACAACCTTTGTACAGCTCCATTTGGAGATTTTACATGACATTTTGGAACTAGGAGAGTAGGTTTCAAAATGGAATAGATGTGTATCTTTCCAACCAGATTGGTTATTTTTAATTTCTTTGGTGATATTAATCACCTCTTTGCTCCACTCTGGCACAGAGTGCAATGAAAATACAACCTAACACAATAAGATCTAGTAGGGCAAGCATCCAACTAATCAAGCAATTGAAAAATGTAGCTCTAAATCCTCATTGTAATGTGGATGTGGTTGAAGCTATAAATACGGGAGAACTTATTGAGAAATGTGTTTTTCTCCTTCTCTTCTTGCACTGGATTTCAAATTTGCTCACTTTAGCAGTTATATAAAACATGATACCTTTGCCATATCTTACTATAGCTAATGACTCCGCTATGTGGTATGCCAATTTCTAACAGTCAGTGGTCCCCATTCTCAGGGTTTATCTCACGGATGTTTTCCTCAAACTACCAAAAGCATAAAAGAATAACATTTGAAGTATCCAATGTACATATATACTCAGACAACTCATAGTCATCGCGTTTCCTATTTTACTGTATGATGAATAATAATGATCCCTGTATTTTCATGTGGTCTCTGGATTCTATCACTTTAAACTCAAGACTCATGAAAAATCTCCCCAAACACATTCACTTCAATATTGTAGTCACTGAGGGGCAGTTTCCAGTCCTCAAACCTCATGCTTCGTGCTTTATTAATGCTTGAAGTGGTGTTCCTCCCCGATCAAGAACTCTTTCAAATGTTATGCATCACTCCTTTTAAGTGTAGCATTGCATATTAAATTTGTGTTTCTGTGAAATTAATTTTTCTAAACTGCCCTGGTTCTGTTTAATTAGGCCATTAGCCTATTCAAGTCAGTGTAAACCCATTTTTCACAAGTTCCCTTCTTTTCCTGCAGACACACAAACACCCTCATTCCACAAAGTGTTGCCACAGGAGTTCACAGTCACATTAGGGGAGAGGGTACGATTTCCATTGAAAAGATTCCCATGGAAAGCTTAAGAGTTGCAATGGTTTCAACACTGCTAATTAGATTCAGGCCAGAAAGTAATCAACCAACTGGTTGCAGTTGCAATAAAGTCTTAATGTGATGATTAGGGAAAGATCGCTGATGAGCACGTGGATGACCTGAACTATTTTAGATCACGTTAATGTTAAAATGGAGGGCCGGCCCCGTGGCTTAGCGGTTGGGTGCACGCGCTCCGCTGCTGGCAGCCCGGGTTTGGATCCCGGGCACGTACCGATGCACCACTTCTCTGGCCATGCTGAGGCCGTGTCCCACATACAGAAACTAGAAGGATGTGCAGCTATGACATACAACTATCTACTGGGGCTTTGGGGGAAAATAAATAAATAAAAATTATTAAAATGGAAAAGGGACATATACATTGTCCACTGTAGCACTTCTAAAAGTGTAAGGCATGTGCTTCCTGTAGTTTATGAGGTAGTTTTAGGTGATATAGGATCAAATATCTTGATCTAGACATTTATATGTCTCCACCATTGCATAATCACCCTGAGTGACACAAAGACTAGGAAGGGGAGAAAGGGAAAAGAGATGAAAGAAAGAGGAAAGAAAAGGCAAGCCAGAGGAAGAAGAAAGAGAGGCCAGGAAATCCATCTAAAACTAAGACAGAAGTGTTTGGCTCCCAGGACACTGGTGATTGTGAGCATTGAGAGTAGAAGAGAGAAAGAGAGTGTGTGTCTGTACATGTGTCCAGGGAAGAGGGCTGACAGAGAAAGCACCAAAGGGGAAGACGGGCGCTACCAATTCATACTGACTTCTTAGTCCTTCCATGACACTCTGAAGATTCTGGCAGTAGAACTCAACACCCCACAAAGGAGCCACACCCCACTGAGAATAGAAGGGAAGAATGCTTAGGAAAGCAGGTGGGGTAGGAAATGGGAAAGCATGTGGAATAGGAAATAGAAAGGCATATAGAATAGAAAATGAGCAATAAAACTTTCAGAGACAGAGAAACAGGAAATGCAATTAAGAGTGGAGGAGTTTCAAAATGGATTAAAGACTTGAATGTAAGACCTGAAACCATGAAACTTCCAGAAGAAAACATAGACAGTACGCTCTTTGACATTGGTCTTAGCAATATATTTTCAAGTACCATGTCTGACCAGACAAGGGAAACAATAGAAAAAATAAACAAATGGGACTACATCAAACTAAAAAGCTTCTTCACAGCAAGGAAACCACCAACAAAACGAAAAGACAACCTCACAATTAGGAGAAGATATTTGCAAACCATATATCTGAAAAGGGGTTAATATCCAAAATATATAAAGAACTCATACATCTCAACAACAAAAAAACTAACAACCCAATAAAAAAAATGGGCAAAAGATCTGAACAGACATTTCTCCACAGAAGATATACAGATGGCCAACAAGCAGATGAAAAGATGTTCAACATCATTAACTATCAGGGAAATGCAAATCAAAACTATAATGACATATCATCTCATGCCTGTCAGAATGGCTATAATTAACAAGACAGGAAACAAGTGTTGGAGAGGATGTGGAGAGAAGGGAACTCTCATACACTGCTGGTGGGAGTGCAAACTGGTGTAGCTAGTATGGAAAACAGTATGGAGATTCCTCAAAAAATTAAGAATAGAACTACCATGCAATCCAGCTATTCCACTGCTGGGTATTTATCCAAAGAACATGAAAACACATATGCATAAAGACACATGCACGCCTCTGTTCATTGCAGAGTTATCCACAATAGCCAAGACTTGGAAGCAACCTAGGTGCCCATCAAGGAACAAATAGATAAAGAAGATGTGGTAAATATATACAATGGAATACTACTCAGTCATAAGAAATGATGAAATCCAGCCATTTGTGACAATGTGGATGGACCTTGAGGGTATTAAGCTAAGCAAAATAAGTCAGAGGGGGAAAGTCAAATACCATGTGATCTCAGTCATAAGTCGAAGATAAAAACAACAACCAACAATCACATACAGAGATTGGGTTGGTTGTTACCAGAGGGGAAGGGGGGAGTGAGGAAGGTAAAAGGGATGATTAGGCACATGTGTGTGGTAATGGATTGTAATTAGTCTTTGGGTGGTCAACACAATGTAATCTGTACAGAAATTGAAATATAATGATGTGCACCTGAAATTCATATAATGTTATAAACCAATGTTACCACAATGAAAAAAAATAATAAAAAATGAAAAGAAATTTAAAAAAAGAGTGGAGTAGCTGGAATTTCTGGGAAATAGAGGTCTAATGGGGAGCCAGAAGGCTGATGAACTGCTAATGACATAAGAAAGGGTGGCCCAGGGTATGCTGAATAGAATTCTGGGCAGGAAATTGGAACACTGAGATTATCTTCCTGATGTGCAATGAAACCACTCTGAAATCTGGGGCAAATTAGTGTGTATCCTCTGCTATAATTAGAGATACTTAGAGCTATTATTACTTCTATGTTAAGGATTATTTTTAAATTAACAACCATATTTTGTATCTTTTTAATGTTTATAGTGACTTTTTATGTTGATGACATTGGTTTTCCGCTTATGATTGGGACACTAGATTTCCTTTAAAGTAATTTATTAAAAGAAAAAATTTATAGGTGAGAATTGATATTGAGAAAAAGGTTAAATAAATTGCATTACAGTGTAGTGAATAACTATATGAATCCTGGAACCAGCCTGTCTGGATCGAAACCCAGGTTCTGCCTCTTACTGGCTGTGTGATCTAGGCTCATGATGGTACCTACATCACAGTGTTGATGTGAAGACTGAAGGAGCTAATATATCTAATGTTGTCTAAAAAGTTCTTAGAAAAGGGTCTGATATCTTTGTGTGTGTCGTTTTTATATTTTAATGTGAACATGACAAAAATTATTTAAAAGTTACTAGAATGGAAAACACTTGTCTACTCAAATATCCTTATTCTACAGAGATTTAGAAGTTATGCCAGTCGCCCAATGTGAATTAGAGTCCAGTTTTCTTGAGTCTTGTTTCTCTCTTCTAATTTCACCCATTTGTTTTTCATCAGTTTTTTCTTTTTCGTGTGAGGAAGATTGGCCCTGAGCTAACATTTACCAATCCGCCTCATTTTGCTGAGGAAGACTGGCCCTGGGCAAACATCCATGCCCATCTTCCTCCACTTTATATGGGACGCCACCACAGCATGGCTTGCCAAGTGGTGCGTCGGTGCGCGCCCGGGATCTGAACCATTGAACCCTGGGCCGCCGCAGCGGAGCGCACGCACTTAACCGCTTGCGCCACCAGGCCGGCCCCTTTCATCAGTTTTTACAATGCCACTGCCACTTGAACAGGCAACATAAAGCACTGCTGCAATATGAACTTCAAAGTATAAGGAGGAGCGTGTCCTGTTAACAGAAAAATATCATCACAGAGGGAAAAGTTGCAAAATTAGCTATTTTATCCAAGAATCTCAGATCTTCTCTATCATGTAAAACATGATGGTTATTACCATTTCTGGTTTTCAGAGAAAATGAAAAAGCAAATAGGTGTCTGGCCAGTAAGAGATAAAGACAGCAATGGTGAGTGTCTCTTCTCACAGCAATGGATAGCTTTGCAATGTTGATAAACTACAATCCTCAACAACCTCACGGATTCACTGAAAAGATCCCACAATTCTTAACTCTTCATTTGACATATTGACCATTGGACCATTGTCTCTTCCTTGAACCACTCATTTTTTCACTGATTACGTCAATTAATAAGTTGTGTTTCATTAGTTCATTCATTTTAATGAGTGCTGTTTTGGTTTACATACACACAGCTGGAAGCCACATAAGAGTAAAATTAATTTCTTTAGTATCTCTCCTAATAATTCACTTTTTAAAGGGCAATCAGAATATGAACCTCTGTCTTTATAGAGCTGGGTGTTTCCTTAAATGAGTACAGTAATTGTATCCTTGTTAGGATCGTCTTAAAAGCTTTCAAGAAAATACAATTTGAGATAAATAATGCTGATTAGACACCCTCCCATGAAAGAAATAATAGAAAGGGATCAAGTGATAAATGAAATGAATGTTGCTCTATCAAAGCAAATGGTGATAAATGGAAGACCGGTGCTGTTGCTTACACTGGCACTTCCGTAAGCTGGTCAGACTATTTATAATTGTGTTTTAGTGTATTGCAGACCAGTCATTTATACTCACGGTAACATTAAAGTGATAAATTAGGAAGAAGTAAGCTGTTTAATCAGCAGATAAGCAGTGATGCAGCTCGAATCAAAAGGAGAGTCATTCTGCTTCTTTTCAATGTTAATAATTAAGGCATGGAGGGATCATTTGGTTTGAAGGGAAATTTGCCAAACATGCAACCATTCATATAATTAAATTATTCTTATATTTCCTTTCCTTTCTTTTTAAAGTAAGTTCCCTTTTTATTTCCCTTTTTATTTTAGTCCTCCTTCAAATAATCTACCTTTTATTTTAATCATCTAAAAGAAGGAATCGCAGTGTCAGTGCTATAAAAAAGGTGATTTCTTGTGTCTTAACTATTAGCTGTTTCAAAAATTTAACATTAACCACAGACTATACTACTGTGACTCATGATTTTGCAAGGAAAGCATAGCCAGCACTTCTGTATTATCTGTTGGATTTTGATATACCAACTATTAAGTATATTCTTAATTAAGGTTATACGTATCTCATAAGTAAGGCAAAGGATTTTCAAGGAAATATATATGTGCATTTTAGTGTTAAAAATATATACTCACCAATAAAAAATGAATATTCACTAATAAAACTACCCACCACTGATAGAGATGCCATTTTACATATTTTTGCAAAACAACTTTATTAATGATTAAATATTAAAGCTTATTCAGGCAGAAAAATTATAGTTTGTTAACTCTTTGGTATCCTGGAGTGATTTTTTCTGGTTCAGAAAATAACTTTTCTTTCCCTTGAGATTAAAAAACTTACTTTCCACTTTGGGGATTCTCTTGCGCTCTTATTTCCAGCCAGATTTCAATAATACGTACTATTAAGTTTTTTGTTTTAGTTTATTTTTCCCTTGCTGTCTATGTTCTGGGAGCATGATACCAAGTGATACCAAATGTCTCTGGTTCCACTGTGCACAAGTGTTTAATCTCTGTTTTGAAGGTGTTTTACAATGTTTTACTTTTTCTATTCTAAATTTTGTATTTATTACTTACTTGGTTTTGAAAATACCAACAAGGCAGCACAATTACATAAAAAAAAAACCCATATAACATAAATACAAGAGAGAAAGAAAGAACACGGAGAAAAGTAAGTAAGTAGGAAAAAGTAAGAAAAGCAAAGAAATTAAACAGAACCATGATTGAGACTTTGTTACAAAAGCATGACAATAAAGAGAATGAGCAAGCAACAGCCCATAGGCTAAATCCAGTCTACTCTTTATTTTTTGGTGGCGGTAAGAACCGTTACTATGAGATATACCCGCAACAAATTTTTAAGTGCACAATATTGTTAACTATAGGCACAATGTTGTATAGCAGATTTCTAGAACTTACTCATCTTATATAACTAAAACCTTATATCCATTGAGCGGCAACTCTGTATTTTACCCTCCCCCAACTCCTGGCAGCCATCATTCTACTCTCTATCAGTTTGATTATTTTATATACCTCATATAAGTGGACTCATACAGTATTTGTCTTCTGTGACTGATTTATTATATGTACCATAAAGTCCTCAAGCTGCATCCATGTTGTTGCATATGGCAGGATTTCCTTCCCTTTTAAGTCTGAATTGCATTCCGCTGTATGTATAAGCTACATTTTCTTTGTCTATTCATCCAATGATGAACGTTTAGGGTGTTTCCATATCTTGGCTATTGTGAATAGCACTGCAGTGAACATGAGAGTGCAGATATTTATTCAAGATCCTGATTTCCATTCTTTTGGATATATACCCAGAAGTGGGCTTGCTGAAACATATGGCAGTTCTATTTTTAATATTTTTAAGACTATCCATACCATTCTCCATAGCAACTGCACCATTTTCATTCTCAACAAAAGTGCAAGGGTTTCTATTTCTCTACATCCTTGCCAATACTTATTGTTTTTTTTTTTAATAACAGCCATTCTAATAGGTGTGAGGTGATATCTTGCGGTTTTGATTTGTGTTTTTTTTATTATTAGTGACGTGAGCATCTTTGGAGAAATGTCTATTCAAGTCCTTTGCCCAATAAGAGACTTCTGTGAAAAATTATACATCAACAAATCAGATAACCAAGAAGAAATAGATAAATTCCTAGAAAGATACAACCTACCAAGACTGAATCATAAAGAAATACAAAATCTGAACAGATCAATTACTATTAAGGAGATTGAATCAGTAATCGAAAACCTCCCAACAAACAAAAGTCCAAGACCGCATGGCTTCAGTAGTGGGTTCTATCAAAGATTTAAAGAATTAACACCAATCCTGCTTAAACTCTTCCAAAAAGCAGAAGAGGTGGGAACACTTCCAAACTCATTTTATGAGGCCAGCATTACCCTGATACCAAAGCCAGACAAGAACACTATAAGAAAAGAAAACTATAGACCAATATGCCTCATAAATATAGATGCAAAATTCACAACAAAATACTAGCAAACTGAATTCAACAGTGCATTAAGAGGAACCTACACCATGACCAAGTGGGATTTATTCCTGGGACACAAGGATGTTTCAACATATGAAAATCAATTAATGTGATACACCAGGTTAACAGAATGAAGGATAAAATTCTATTATAATCTCAATAGACACAGAAAAGGCATTTGACGAAATTAAACACACTTTCATGATAGAAACTCTCAACAAACTAGGTCTGGAAAGAATGTAGCTCAGCATAATAAAGGTCATACATGAAGAGACCACAGCTAACATCATACTCAAGTGTGAAAAACTGAAAGCTTTTCCTCGAAGAATAGGAATAAGACAAGGATTCTCACTTTTGCCACTTTCATTCAATATAGTACTAGAAGATCTAGCCAGAGCAATTAGGCAAGAAAAAGAAATAAAGGGCATCCAAATTGGAAAGGGAGAAGTAGAATTATCTCTGTTTACAGATGAATGATCTTATATGTAGAAAACTCTAAAGAGTCTACAAAAAGTTATTAGAATAAATAAATTGAGTAAAGTTGCAGGATAAAAAATCAACATAGAAAAATCAATTGTGTTTCTACATACCAAGGAACTATATGAAAAAGAAATTAAGACAACAATTCCATTTACAATTACATCAAAACTAATAATATACTTAGGAATTATCTTAACTGATGAGGTGAAAACTTGTTCCTTGAAAACTACAAAACATTGATAAAAGAAATCAAAGAAGACATAAACAAGTTGAAAGGCATTCCATGTTCATTGATTGAAATAATTAACATTGTTAAAATGCCCATACTACCCAAAGAAATATACAGATTAAACACAATCTCTATCAAAATTCCAATGACATTTTGCACAGAAATAGAAAAAAATACCTAAATTTTGTATGGAACCACAAAAGACCCCAAATAGCCAAAACAATCTTGAGAAAGAAGAACAAAGCTGAAAGAGTCACATTTCCTGTTTTCAAACTATTGTAATGCTATAGGAATTAAAACAATATAGTACTGACATAAGAACAACATATAGGGCCGGCCTGATGGCTTAGTGGTTAAGTGCGTGCGCTCCGCTGCTGGCGGCCCGGGTTCGGATCCTGGGCGCACACCAACGCACCGCTTGCCCGGTCATGCTGAGGCCGCGTCCCACATACAACAACTAGAAGGATGTGCAGCTATGACATGCAACTATCTACTGGGGCTTTGGGGGAAAAAATAAATAAATAATAATAAAAAAAATTGAAAAAAATAAAAACAACAACATATAGACCAATAGAACAGAACAGGGTCCCTGGAAATAAACCCACGCACATACAGTCAACTGATCTTTGACAAAGATGTCAAGAATACACAAGGGCAAAAGGATAGTCTCTTCAACAAATGGTGCTGGGAAAATTTGATATCCATATGCAAAAGAATGAAATAGAACCCTTATTTTAAACTCTACGCAAAAATGAGCTGAAAATGGATTAAAGGCTTAAACGTAAGACCTGAAATGGTAAAAATCCTAGAAGACAACATAGGGAAAAGGTTCATGACATTGGCCTTGGCAATGATTTCTTGGATATGACAGCAAAAGCACAAGCAACAAAACATAGACAAATGGGACTACATCAAACGAAAATCTTCTGTACAGCAAAGGGAACAATCAATGGAGTGAAAAAGCAACCCACAAAATGGGAAAAAATATTTGCAAACCCTATATCTGATAAAAGGCTAATATCCAAAATATGTAAGAAAATCCTACAACTCAATGGCAAAAAATATGTTTTACCTTTGACTTACCTATCTCTCTCTCTTTCAAATGATTTGGGCAGAGTTTCTCTTGAATTTTACTGAAAGCATGGTATTTATATAAAACACTATTACCTTATTGTGAATTTAAAAGAATAATGAAAATTTCCACTTGCGCCAAAAGTTCAGAGCCTGTACGCACTATCATGGGAGCTAATAGATAAAAGAGACTTTGGGCCTGCCCTGTGGCTTAGCGCTTAAGTGCGCGCACTCCGCTGCTGGCGGCCCGGGTTCGATCCCGGGCGTGCACTGACGCACCGCTTCTCTGGCCATGCTGAGGCCGTGTCCCACATACAGCAACTAGAAGGATGTTCAGCTATGACATACAACTATCTACTGGGGCTTTGAGGGAAAAAAAAAATAATAAATAAAGAGACTTCATCTGTTTATTTTCATTTGTATAAGTTAAGTGCTAACACTTTAAGTCTATTTATGGACGTATAAAGAGAATGTGAAAAAATTTAGAATAGAGAAAAAACAACAAAGGAAATCAACAATTTTGAATATAATTATTACTTTGAATGTCTTAGTCTCATCTATTTTCTTTCTTCTGTAACTTATTAGTTTATATTTGTCTTCCAGTTTTCAGCTTAGAGATCACTTTTCCCACATATCTTCCCAGATTTCTGAAGAATGAATTGGATACCCCACCAATTTACCCCAACAATACCCTGTCAAAGCCCTGGTTGTAGTACATAGAACATTCCTTGTAATGTCCTATTTGCTTATCTATTTCCCCAGTAGAATATCACTGCTATGGTCCGAATGTGTCATCCCAAAATGTATATGTTGAAATCCTAACCTCCAAGGTGATAGTATTAGGAGGCGGGGCCTTGGGGTGGTGATTAGGTCATGAGGATGGAGCCCTCATGAATGGGAGTAGTGCCCTTATAAAAGAGGCCCCAGAGAACTTTCTTGCCCCTTCTACCACATGAGGAAACAACAAGAAGGTGCTGTCTATGAACCAGAAGTGGGCCCTTACCAGCCACCACATCAAATCTGCTGGTACCATGACCTTGCACTTCCCAACCTCCAGAACTGTGAGAAATAAATTTCTGTTGTTTATAAGCCGTCCAGTCTATGGTATCTTGTTATAGCAGCTCAACTAGACTAAGACAATCACCTTGAAGGCAAGGACAGAATTATGTTCACTTCTGTATCCCCCAGAACTGGCTCAGAGTTTGCTATAGAGTAAGAGCTTACATGGTAATGCTTTGTGACTAACTGAAATGGCAGTAATTTTGTCGAGACTGTAATCACACTATACTACGAATACTGGAGGTTTCTAGTGAATATCAGCCTTGAAGACTACTGACTTGGAAGACCATAGATGACACACTCTCAGGAGACTAAGAGTATGATTTCTCTTGTCCATTTTTGCTTTTATAAGAGTCATGAGTAAAGGTCTGACTTCCTCTACATGGTATTTTGGAAGGCCTGAACAATGAAGTATTATTATGATTGTTATTGTTGTTATATTAGATGGCAGAGAATTCCAATGAGCTTTTTCCTTTAACACTTAAAAATTTCTTCTCAGAAATTTCTTTTCTATCAAAAGACAAGAAGAGAATCACATATTATATTTTCTCATTTGTTTATTTGCATCTATGAACTGCTTTCAGTGACAGGATATAGGAAATTTGAGCCAAGGTGATGGTTTTTACCTGTCCTCTCCCTTAATGTTAACTTGTGCACAGTCCAGACCATGGGGAGAAAGATGCATGGTAATGGCTGTATTGGGGAAGTATTCACTTCTTTGTGCCTGTTTTTGCAAACAAGCAAACAAAAAAAGAATAGCTTGAGCCAATGTTAATATAGATGGATATCTCTTTAGTTTTCTGATTTTTTTCTTTTGGGAAATCAGAAAAAAATGCTTCTAAGTTGGACCCATTCTTCCTGTGACATGAACAATCTATGGATGATAGCTGAACTTTTTCCTTGTGAATATCCCTCCTGTCAAAAACTTCCATAATTACTTGAATTGGCAGTTGCAATTTGTGTGTGTGTGTGTGTGCATGTGTGTGTGTGGGGAAGATTGGCCCTGAGCTAACATCCATGCCAATCTTCCTCTATTTTGTATGTGGGACGCTGCCACAGCATGGCTTGATGAGTGGTGTGTAGGTCCACACTTGGGATCCGGGCCCGCCAACCCCGGGCCTCTGAAGTGGAACGTGTGAACTTAACCACTATGCCACCAGGCCAGCCTCAAGTGGTTGCAATGTTTTTGAGAGACAATTTTCATAAATTTATATTTTTTCTATTTTATTTGTTGAACAAATATTTACTGAATGCATTCTATGGTAAAACAAAGTCCCAGTCATCAAAGGGGCTTACTGTTATGTCTGTTCCTGTAAGTGTTACTTAGTTGTTACTAAGATGTTTAAAACATGCTAACAGTGTGATAAGAAGGCTCTGAGTTGGGTTAGGTATAAAGGAAACAAGGCTCTGAGTTCTAAATTGGAAAGGCTCAAACTCTAAGTTTTAAATTGGTAAGGATACAGTTTTTCTCAAGTTCAGGGGTCAGAAGAAAATGCTAAATAAAGTATTCTTTTAAGATCTTACCAAAAAATAGATAAATCTAGCATTGTTTGGAGGTTAACAATGTTCTAAAATGAAACAGTGGTTCTTCTTTAATTAATAATACTATGTATTTTTCTGTTTCTTATTCAGGTTTATTTTTAATGTATTTTCTTAACAATGGCTATTAGTAATGAATATCAAATTGATTGAAATCACGCCTTTCTTTGCTTTAGTTTTTTTGCAGCTGAGCAGGTACCCTGGATACACATGGAAAAATAATGCGAGCTGAAATACAGGGCCACCAAATGTGACAATAGAACCTTTTCCAAGGGCAACAAGCAGGCTTTACTTAGCATCCAGCATTTGGAAGCATCCTCATTA